ATCCCACTACACTATCCGAAAAAGAGAAGGGAGTTTCTTTCTCCCAGTGTTCAAGCCAATAATAAAATTGGTTATTCACATCATAGCTGTCTTTTAGAACACTGCTGTGTCTGTTTGATCGCTTAAACAGTCACTACACTTTGCGGTATATCCTTTGAAGTGCTTTGAGATGTACTCCCAACACGAAAGGCTCTGTATCAAATTATTATCCAGTATAAATCACATTCCCGTGAGAGAGAGTAATTTTTTTGGAAATGCACAAAATCTGAAAGATTGGATCAGTAATTTTAAAGTAATTTGAGAAATATGGGTTGGAGGATTTTTTTGAGTTCAGATCCCGCTGGTTGGAATCCGGTAAAATGAAGACAGAACATCATCTGCAGCTATTTGTGATTCACTGCTATTACTCCTTTTGGGATTCATATTGCGTGTATGATTTACACTGCATATCTTCCATGGAATGTGTATGTGTGAAAACTAAATCAAGCCACTCATATACACATTCTCTCCATGGCGTACTTGTACAGGCAAGGCGTTATAATTAAAATTCCAGGCTTCTAGGGCAGACCTTTCCATGCTTTGGTGTATTTTTATAGTAGGTTTTTTTTGAGGAACCTCCATAAGTTTAACAGGAAGATGTTGACTTGAAAACATAGCTCTTCAAATGTATTTGTTCCATTTTGCCCCCTGACCTGTTGTCCTGCGGTCAGGAATAACAAGGCTGCGTGTGTTAGGCCAATAATGCCAACTTGGCTCTGTAGGTAGCGAGCGCTCTTGCCTCTGGCTCGGAATTTGCAAGTTGAAGATTTTGACTTGACAGTAGTTTAGCTGGCTTTTCAGCACAGTACTGCAGGAGCCACGTCCTGTCAGAGGTGCCATCCTCAGGACAAGATATTAAATTTACTGTTTGGTCTGCCTGATCGAATGGATGATATTCGTGTGATGCTGTTTAAAAATAGAACAGAATTTCTTCTGGACTCCAGACGAGTACTCCTCCAAATAAATTGGCCATTCATTTTGTTGTAGTCTGTGAAATGATGCAGTGTGCAATTATAGCCGCTACACTTGACAGCAATTCGCTATAGTATGTTTTGATATTGTAGGCATTCTATCAAATACAATATGTGGATAGTAAAGTACTTGCACCAATGTGATTTTTATATTGAATATATAGCTGAGCTTTCTATTTTTTAGTCCATTTACTGCTGAAACATAATGCATTTTTAATTTTGATACTCCAATTCAACGTGGTCTTGGAATTTTAATGGCGTTGTTTGAAATGACAACATCTGTCAGATGGGCAAAAATGCTTTCAACAGATTGAGGTCTGATCTAGATTTGCATGTACTGTCTGTTTTGAAGTCTGGGAGTAATAATAATCTTGCATTTGATATAGTGCCTTATCGTGTCTTCAAGACGTCTCAAAGCACTTCACAGAATATATTGTGAATGAATTCACTGTATATTTTGTGGGAGAAACGCAGCAGCCAAATGCGCATAGCAGTGTCCCACAAACAGTCATGGATTGAGTGACCAAATAATTATTAATTATTATTTTTTTCAAGGGATTGCTATCCCCACAAAGCGATCCACCAATCGACTAACAACTAGGTTCCGACTTACCTTTTTTTTTGAGTTCTGAGAAAAGCCTTGAAATAATTGGTAAGCTTTTGAAAGGGAATCCTGTGCCTAGGTTCTAGGATGTAGCTGGCTCTTTTGTGTGTGTTTTTCCCTATTTCTCAGACCCAGGTTGGTTTGGCTTCAGCAAACCGTTTGTTTGCCACAAGGCAAGAACCACTTCATGAAAATTCCAGAATATCCAAAGTGTCAGATTCACAGAAAATTCCACGTAATGACTACTTACCAGCTGAGTAAATTGATTTGTATGTCATTGCTTTGGGCTGGTCATGTTGAAGATTTTAGTGTGTTTTTTTCCTGAATCAAAAGAAAAAGATCAAGAAGTGAGGCTTGCAGCCTCGGGTGTTATATCTGTTGAGGATGTGGCAGCACAGGTGGCTGGTCCAAAGGTGGAACATCTGACACAACACGTGGGTAATCTTAAAAGTTTTGAGTAATGGGAATTACCCATGAGTAATGTGTATTCCTTCTGTGATCTAGAATGATTTCCTGATCCACTATAGAGCACCGAGGATCACAAGTGGCTTTGCTTGATAACATTTCTGCTCAAATCCGTTTCGGTTGACTTGCTGAGAATACTGTAGATAGTCGAGTGCCTTGCTCCCTTGCTCGCCTCCTTCAAGGCACGTCTCAAGACGCTCCTCTTCGCTTATGCCTTGCCTTCAGTCACCCTCCTACCTCTACCTTCCCTCCTGATTGCAACTCCTTGCGCGAGTCCAAATCCCTGACTGTCCCGCACCTTGGGACGTCCTCCCGACATGAAAGATGCTCCTGTAGCTCAGTGGTTAAAGCACTCGCTCGCAAGCGAGAGACCTGGGTGTGATTCCCAGCAGGGCGCAATGTTGTGCAAGTTTCCTTACTCCACCCGCCCTACCATTGGAGGGAGAGCCTTCAGCCACTCTGCCCCCAATCTCTGGAATTCCATCCCCAAATCACTCCGCCTCGCCCTCTCCTTAGCCTCTTTCAAGTTCCGCTTCAAAACCCTCCTCTTCGTCCAAGCAATCGGTCACCCCCCTTCCCCTCCCTGACCCCAGCTCGGGTCTGAAATGCTGTACACTGTTCAGTGCCTTGGAATGTCCTCCCGACGTGAAAGGCACTATACAAATGTAATCTTATTGTTGTTTACCTAGCAGTAGGTAGGAACCCAGTTGTTAGTCAATTGGTAGATCACTTTTCCGGGGATAATAATTCCTTCAAAAAAATAAGAAATTGGTAACTTCAATCCACGACTATTTATGGGACACTGCTGTGCGCAATTGGCTGCTCCGTTTCACCCACAAAATATACAGTCAATTCCCTTTACAGTATATTCTATAATGCACTTTGAGACGCCTCGAAGACATAATAAGACTCTATATTGAATGCAAGAATTATTATACACATATAATTTGTTTTTGTGAATGATTTAATCGGCTTGGCTCCAAGGAGACCCTTGTTCATCTCCAGCTCCTTGGCATTTGACAAACTGGAGGTGGTCTATTTTAATACGTTTCAGGACTTCTTGTATATGACTGAAGTTTATAGATTAAATAATCTTTAAAACTGCTTTGTAAATGTTCTTGTGCATTTGGCATGGGATACCCTGATAGCCTATTGACTATCACATTCCTTCGTCAATTTACATTCTAAAAAAGATGTTGCTGATTTTGTTAAGTAATTTAGTATTAAGGCACGTCAGGTGAGTTGAGATCTCCTAAGCTTTTCTTGTAGTTTGACGTTGAAAACTCGAGGCTGGCTCATATCCATAGAAATATAAAAATAAATTGCTGTACATTTTTGTAACCTTTTGGACTGCCAGCAGGTCCAGGGAAATTCCAGCATCAGGCTGAGTTTTTAGCTGATGCTGAAGCATTCTAATTAATTATAATTAGGCTGCTCAGATGATGGTCCAATTCCTAGTTTGAAGCATGATTAATACACACAGTCTGTCTTAAGCGCTAATAATTGATTAGCAAGTTGAAGAACATTAAGTTGGGATTTGCTTGAATTCCTCTGGTAGCTATTTTGGGGCATTAAAGTTGGGAAACAGCAATAGGACAAAATACAGAAGGTCAATGAATTGGACAACAACCACCATTCAATTCCAACTAGCCAGTCACACTTGGTGATCACAAGTATGGGTAGTGTGGGAAATTGAGTTGACATTGCTATAGTAAAAGTGATCAGAATAGGCAAAAGAACAAGTGCTTTACCTTCTAACTTCCCACATATACATATTACATACTAACTGAATGGTCAAACTACAAACAGCTTAAATGACTGACTTGCCTGTATATTTAGTTCTCTGTTTATATTAGATCATCTTAGAGCTGTGGAAATCCCCAGGACTGTAAGACTTCACCTTTTCCTTTTGCATTTGTTGAATGGAGCGATTTTAGCTAATTGACAATCTTAACGTAATTGTATCATACCATTAACTATTAGTAAACCCGGGAAATAAAACAATGCATCTAAAATTTATCTCAACTCATTGCGGTTTTAATATTTCAACACTTGTGAATACTTGTAGCTAAGGGTGTTTGACGGGGGCTTTGACAGGGAAATTAACTGTGGATCTGCTGTATTTAATAACATCCTCGTATTCTGATTTGTTTGAAAGGTTAATGGGTAACATGCTACTAAATTAAGGTTAATTGTAAGTGAGACCTGTAGTTTTATCAGCGGGTAATGCGTAGTTCAAGTTGTGTGGAATGGCAAACTGTACTCTCTGCTTTCTACAAAGGGCAATAGGAAACTTTGTAAGCCTGAACTCTAGGACTAATTGAATACTGTCGAGTTTGCAACAGGAAATCTGCATTAATAACATGAATTGTGAAAGACTTGGCAATTTTCTTTTGGAATGTGGGAGAGTTGAGACACGTGAATCTTTTAATTAAGCAATTATGTTTAAAAATGACTTGAGGTGCAACACATGATCATATTTAATCTAGAGTGTCAAAAAGCCAAGTGAGAAATGAGTATTATATTGGAAATTCAGGCATGTTTAACAACCTTTAAAATCTGTAAGAGTGAGCTTCCTGGATGTATCCCATTTATCGTTGGCTGAAATGGAATTGATTTTCATTGCATCATCTTGGGCTGAGTTCCAAGTTCACTCACTCAACAAAAGGCCATAAGTGGGGGTTTTGTTTTGACAATAGTGAGTTTCAGCTGTGGCCCTTGTTTGAATGATTCAAATTTCTGATTATTTTTCCCTCATACCACATTTGAGAAAGGGCTGGAGAGGTGTAGGTGAAAATTCCCCTCTAACGCTGTAGGAAATTCCCTTCTTCTGTGACCATTTCACCATAATCACCGCTCTTCCGATGTAGCTGGACCTTCCTTCGTAAAAGCTGACATACTGTATTTTGTTTTGTACGCAGCAAAGAGTTGCTCCTCTGGCTAGAAGGCATTGGTTTGACGATCGAAGTTTAAAATGGCAGCTAACAAGAACAAAAACCAGAGCTCGCTGGCCCTGCACAAAGTGATTATGGTGGGCAGCGGTGGTGTGGGCAAGTCGGCACTCACACTGCAGTTCATGTACGATGAGGTAAGAGACTTTATTTTACACAAAGGAGGGATGTTCTGTTCAAATAGCTTTGACCATCTCTACTTGTAGTTTTAAAATTATTGGAAGGGAACGATTCTACTAGGTTTTAGCTTTGCTGACTCAATCTTGACTTAAATGCAGAATACCTTTCCTTTGCGGAGGGGGGAGGTGGGGGTAGAGAGAAAAGAGCCCCAAATTGTCAATGTTGTTAAACAGGTCCTGCCTGCCTGTTCAAGTGGATGTTAAAGGTCCTGTAAAACTACTTGAAAAGCAAAAAGAGGTTCGCCCAGTGTCTTGGCCTATAATCTACAGATATTGTTGGTCATTCGTCTCATAGTTGTTTGCAAAATAGCCGCAGGACATATCTTCAAAACAGTCACTGCATTTGACGGAAATCACTCAGAACACTTAATATTTGAGATCGCTAAATGTTTTATGCTTGTGATGTTATTTCCATGCATGATTGACAAACTGTAGCATTAAGTTCCTGCCCCACCCCAGCTTGTTTCCCACAAAGAGCTTTCGTTTTTGACACCATCATCCAGAGTGTTTGCTGGCTAAGTGGCCCTTCACTTTGTTTTTAAAGAGTGCCCCAGCAACTGATGAGTCCAAACGTTATCCAATGCTGCCATTGAAAACTCTCACCCGCTCTGAGATGCTGTTGTTGTTAATTTCCTTCACAAAATATGTATAACATGTGTAGCGTATGAACTGGTAACACTTTATATAGTCATATAAACAGAACTCTGCTGTACTTAGCCGAATGCAGTGAAAATACATTCAATGATACTGACTGCTACTGTTTTCTCCTTCCTTTCCCCTTACAGTTTGTGGAAGACTATGAGCCCACGAAGGCTGACAGTTACAGGAAAAAAGTAGTTCTGGATGGTGAGGAAGTCCAGATAGATATCTTGGACACTGCTGGGCAGGAGGACTATGCAGCCATTCGGGATAACTACTTTCGCAGCGGGGAGGGTTTTCTCTGCGTCTTTTCCATCACTGAGCAGGAATCTTTTACAGCCACTGTAGAGTTTAGGTAAGTGATTGGGAGATCACAGTGTTTGACGCTTTTCAGATTCATTAGAGCCACATTGAGCATTTGGGAAAGGCCCTATACAAGTGTAATTTTGTATTGTATTGTCCTAGAAGTCTAAAGATAGTGTATGGGGAAATATGTAACTTCCCCATGGGGGAAGGGGTTGTCTGACATACATGTGCATAGTTCTTCTTGTCGCACGCAATAGTGTTCTCCATTGTATCCACATTAAAGCGGTTAACTGTATATGTGCAAGATTTTGGCAGATGGATCTGGATGTTTAGCTGCAGCACAGTTGCTCATTGCCTCCTTTGTCCCTGTAAAGCCTTCAAGCAGACCAAAGGATGAACTTTCAGAGAACAGCAAAAGTTTGGGATTTTTTGGGGGGGCCTCATTGAAAGCAAATGTGGCAAAGGCAGTAAAAAAAACGCTTCCTGCCCCCACACTGCCGGAAGCAAAATAGCTTCAAAATCTGAAAATCGGGTGAATATATTTAAGTCTCGGATGTGTCAATCGTCCTTTATACAAGTACCGTCCTCTGCTCTGACACCTGCAAAAGCGAGAGCAAATATAAATTCTCATTCAAAGGCAAGGGCTGAAAAGAATATTATGTTCACCGAATTGTCTGGCATATCAGTTGCCTATCTTCAAAGGGCCATTTCAAGAATCCTTTATTTTTTTAAAAAAAAAGCTTACATGGATATTGCATCTATATCCTATTCAGTAATACCTTTCTTAATAAGATGTATCCTATTTAAACAGCTGTGATGTCTTGTTCCAATACAGCAGTGATTTCTCCCATTGCAGGTAATGTTTGTCCAGCTCCAAGCACTGTCACTGTTCTGCTACGCCAAGCTTGCCTCTTGCGGAGAACGGCATTAAAAACTATTGTGCATTGAAATTTTTATTGCTCTTTATAGTTTTATAGAGGGGAATCCTTTTGAGATTGACATCTACTCTGTGGAACTAAATTTAGTTTGAAAATACTACTTTTGAGCGTTGAACTATTAATTTTTTTCAGATGCTGCTGGGAATGTGAGTGTTCTGCCTTACTTAACATTCATAGTAATAATAATAATCCTTGCATTTGATATAGAGGCCTTATCACCTCTTCGAGATGTCTCGTAGCGCTTCACAGAATATACTGTAAAGTGAATTGACTGTATATTTTACTGGCAAAACACAGCAGCCATTTGTGCACAGCATTGTCCCACAAACAGTCATGGATTAAGTAGCCAAATTATTATTATTTTTGTTATTTTATTTGTATATTGAATTTACAATTGTGATTTGTTAACTTCATAAGCAAATCTTAGTGCTTCTGTTGCAATTTATAACTCGGGGAAAACCTATTCTTTCCTGTGAATATTTTTTCCTTGACCGTGCCTCTTACTATAAAACCTGCCCCCTATAAAACCTGAGATACATTCATGAAACAAGTCCTTAAGCTATAGCTACAGGTCTATCATTCAGATTTTATTTCTATTGATGTCCACTCTGTGCAGATGCATCCTACCATGCAAGTTACAGCTGGTATTTACTTATGAGCTCCTTTTAAATGCATTTCTGCAGTCTTGTAATTCTGGTGGCTGGTAATGACTTGTTCCTGACTAGAGTTTAGTTAATTCAAGGTGTCAGCTGCGGAGGTAGATAACTCAAAGCTTTGGAAACTCCCTGTTTACATTTTTCCCTTACAGTAACTATAAATCAATTGCAATTTTTAAAATCCCATTGAAGACTTTATGTAATTGGGTTATGCCCTTGAAGATTATAATGCTTAAAAGATTCTGCTTCTTTTGTTAAATATAACCCAGTTCTTATATTCTGCCTTATTTGGTGTTTTTTATGCTTCCAATTATTTTTGAATTTTAAGTAAATAGAAACCATCATAACTTAGCTTATAAGATTATTTTTTTTGTGTTCCGCTCGGGTCCAAACTCAGTTGAGATGATTAAGTCAGCAATTTGTTCTGGTTACAGAGAACAGATCCTCCGTGTGAAAGCTGAGGAAGACAAGATCCCATTACTCTTGGTGGGGAACAAGTCTGATTTGGAAGACCGGAGGCAAGTGTCTGTTGAAGAAGCCAGGAGTAAAGCAGAAGAGTGGGGGGTTCAATATGTCGAGACTTCAGCCAAAACGAGAGCCAATGTAGATAAGGTAAGCACTAGCAGAGAACTACCCTGCTCCTTTTTAAGCAGCATGTTTTTCCATCTGTATTTAATTGAGATGGCCGGACCTTCAGCCTCTCAGCCCCGAGGCTCTGGAACTCCATCCCCCAGTGCCTTCGCCGCCTCCTCCCTTTCCTCCTTCAAGGCCGGTCTCAAGACCTTTCTCTTTGACCTTCAGCCTTCAGCTCCCCTCTCGACTCTCTACCCCCTCCTCGCTCCCTCCCTTCCCTCCCCTCACCATTTCCCCCCAATGCTCGGGTCCTGACCCAACTGTCCAGCGCCTTGGGACGTCCTCCCGACGTGAAAGGTGCTCTATAAATGGAATCTTATTGTTGTTATTGTTGAGATTCCAATACCAGGAATGAGGGACTTCAGTTATGTGGAGAGACCAGAGAAGCTGGGATTGTTCTCCTTGGAGCAGAGAAGGTTAACGGGAGATTTAATAGAGGTGTTGAAAATTCTGAAGGGTTTTGATAGGGGAGAAACTGTTTCCACTGGTGGGTGGGTCGGTAACCAGAGGACACAGGTTCAAGCTAATTGGCAAAAGAACCAGAGGGGAGATGAGGAGAATTTTTCTTTTACACAGCGAGTTGTTACTCTCTGGAATGCACTGCCTGTGGTGGAAGCAGATTCAATAATAATTTTCAAAAGGAATACCTGAAAACGAAAAATTTGCAAGGCTACGGGAAAAGAGTAGGGGAGCGGGTCTAATTGTATAGATCTTTCAGAAAGCCAGCCAGTGCATGATGGGCCGAATGGCCTCGTTCTGTGCTGCGTGATTCTAATGCAGTAACGCTTGCATTTTTCCAAAGGAATTCTTTGTAGTAGTGAAGGGAGTTTTGGAGTGGGGGGGGCTTCAGAAACTTGTGGTAGAATTCATTCAGAACACTTTCAATTTGTTTTTTTTCCCGCCCAGGTATTTTTCGACCTCATGAGGGAGGTACGAGCAAAGAAAATGTCGGAGAACAAAGACAAGAATGGGAAGAAAAGCAGCAGGAACAAGAAGAGCCTGCGAGAACGATGCTGCATACTGTGAAACCCCGTGCTGTGATTAATGAGGATTATCTACCACAATCTGAACTTGTGCGCTTACATTTCATTTACGTCTCCATTTGTTTAAAAAAAATATTGCTCACTGTTTATTTTTAGAGTCAAACAGTGTTTGTTCAGAGTATTGAGAATCAAACTTCCAAGTTTGGTTTGTTGCCAATGAATTACTCTTTGAACTACTGTCAAATAACTTGTATTCTTTGGATCTGCCTGGTATCACCTGCGTTTTATTCTGGGTACGTTCATTTGAACAGTTCATATCGAGCACTACCGTGCTTCCATTTTTGATCTGTATTTTTTCACTTATCCAGTTAATGAACTAATCCATCATAACGTCTCCTTTTGAGGTCAGTCTTCGTAATAATGGCCAGCATTTGTAACGTGCCACAAGCAAATTGGCATTTTGTGGAAACTGCAGTATGTTACAGCAGTATTCTACATTTTGAAAATGGAGGTTCTCATTGAAATGCCAAGGTTTCATGTTCAAAAAGCACATGTGAAAAAGCAGTTCTCACCTCTATCTCTAAATTGCACCACTCGTGGTCTTAAGATGCAATCAAACCTGCAATATGTTCCATCCAGCAAATCCTGGGGAAGGTTGGGAAAGAGGGAGGGAAGTGGATTTAAAACCTTGCTTAAATCCAGTGTTTAATGGTTACATTTTTTTGGTGCCATTTTAACTTAACTACTTTTTTGTAAAAAGATCTTGCGACATTTCTCATGTAATGGAAGTAAGTGGGAACGTTCTGCTATCTGCACTCCTTACAGGTGCAATCATTTAGAGATGCTTTTTCACACCAGTTCACTTCACTTTTAATGTAGTTAAGTCTGTCTGACTACGGTAGTCTTAATCCTCCACTAGCACTTTTTCCCCCTTATTACACTATTGGTATTGTGCACCTTTTACAGGAAATATTTCAGTGAGCTGATTTTAAAAAAAAAATTCACTGTCTAGATTTTGTTCTCTGAGCCCATCATTTTGGATTCACTACCTCCCTGTGCTATATTACTTACTGGTTGCTGAAAGTGGATTTTTTTTGAGTACTGGGATTCAGGATTCATGCACAGACACCAGAAAAAGTATTCCTCGCAACACCAGTATGTACATAAGTAAGGTGTTTACGTTGTGTTATCTGCCTTTTTAGACAAGGTATTAGCATCATGGAAAGTTTAAAAACAATTTGTAGGGACAACTGCTGTCTTCTGGCAGATTGCTTTAAGCACACAATACAGTAACAATCATAGGTTATAAGTGCAGTCTTCTATAGTCTAGAAATCAATTGCCCCGTTCTTTCAGATGTTTTTAAGAACACAAATGACCTGTGTAAAGTGGACCAAGTAACTTGCACGGATTATATTTTTAGACATTTGTAAAGAGAAATTGGATGGTAATTTCTGTGTAACCTCATGTGAATGACTTGTACATGTCTCGGACTACGCTGACCTGTGTTTTTAAGAACTATTTCTGAACACTGTTAGATTGTTACTGTAGGTTAATGCATTAAAAAAAACACTAGATTATTGGGACAGAACAATTTATACATTTGCCTTAACATTAATTGCATGCGATGTTAATTTCTCCCTCACTTTCCTTTGGGTTATTAGAAAGATTTTCATTAAAAGCCATCCTAATTAACTCTGAGGAACTCTTTGGTGGTTCAAGGGGTTAGGACACTAGCTAGTAATAAATTGGTATTGTATTTGCCAAACTAGTAGTTTAGATCAATTTACCATGTTAAGGACTTTCAATAAATTCTTTATTTCAAGATGGCATTTCCTGATGTTGAAAATAAAACTCAAGAATATTCTCATCATGAAACATTTGAAACTTGCTCCCAACAATGAATACCAATAAAGCCAATAGCATAATCATTGACTTGGTTCTTGTGTCCAACATTCCAGCAAAGCCCAATTTAGTTGGGATTAGATAACTAATTGGTGTCTCCTGTGGAACCTATGGACCGAGCCACCCTGGATGGTAAATTGTGCAAACTATTTAACATGAAATATAAGTGAAGTTAGTTTGGTTAATGGCGAGTCCGTGGTGTAAAGTGCTTATAATTCAATGCCAATTGGAAGTCTTAAGGTGTGGCTGGAGTGTGAAATGGAAAGGGCTCTTATCGCGGTCGAGGTATAGTTGAGGGTAGCGCAGATGAGCTGTACGCTGTCTGAAATCTGTGTCTCAAGAGCAAACGCAACGTTCAGTGTAACTTCATTGCTGCAGCTCACGTTGTATTAAATTCATCCACTTTCCAAAGTCTTAGCGTCTCCCAAAGTACAAAAAAAATCTGTATCCATTACTGCTATCGCTCAGAACATAATCATGGTGTACTATTTTTTGTGCGTTTACATTCAGTGTTGTAGTTCGGAGCATGCAGAATTTGGGGCAAAAATCTAAATTTGGTCATTACTGTGAGGCGAGAGTTTCTACCATTTCAAGAACGAACAAAAAAACTGTCCCGAGTTAGCGAAAAAAAATTGCTGAATTCAACGCTTAAAGCCTTTTGTAGAATAACGTGGGAGAGATTAAGCCGTTTTATTTTCAATGCCGTGTTTATCAAAACTAAAATGAGGTGCGAGCCTTAACTGAACTATTAAATAAAATAAATCAGAACTACTCGGGATGTTCCCTTGCTTGTGGGAAGCTCCCCAAAAATACTTTCAGTAACTTTTTTTTCCCTCTGTTAAGTTCAAGGACTTACGAGGCCTTAACAATTAATTAAGTCAGTCCTTGTAAGTCCTTGAATTTAACTTTTTTTAAAAAAAAATAAAGCTATTGTCTGCATCTTGCGTGTGGGAGGCTTTAGAACGTGACCTGAAGTGTCCCAATAAATGTTACTGAAGTACATTTGGTTCGGGTCAGAACTCCAGGCATTTATCTAAATAAATGAAGAATTTCCCATTTGTGCTACATTCCATTAACCCCGTTTTATGGACATTTTTGTTCAAACGAGTCCCATTTGTCCCTCTACAAAAGCTCCGGTGGAATAACACGCTTTAAATTTGCTGCTCGTGCCGCTTGGGATCGTAGAAGGTTATTCGGCAAAAGCAACACTCATCCGGTTTCCTCGAAAGAAAAATGGTAACGGGCTAAAAAAAAAATCGGAACGGCAAATTTACGCACGCGGGGGGGGGGGGGGGGAGTTGATTAGAAGGAATCGATCTCATTCTGTGAGCCCAAGGATGATTCTGTTGCTCTCTTTGATCTGCAAAATGTTTCGTCCCCGCAATCATTGGTCTCAGAAAGTGTGTCTGGTTTAAAATCGCGCGCTTGCAGATGACTCGTACGTAGGCGAAGTGTTCCTGGGTGCTAGTTTAATAGGGCCACAAAGCACACCGATGACATCTACCCATCTCTGCTGTGAAATAAATCAAACGTCGAAATAGGCATTTTCTTTACTAAAGATGTGGTATCTTAACCATCGCAATTTTTTTTTAACGATTCCTTGTAACGCAACTAATGTGAAGTTCGGGTTTTTGAACCGAAATATTATGTAAAGGCTAAACTACTTAGTGTTGTATGTGGATCTTTCATACCTTAATTCTATTCACAGGATTCCTAAATGTTTCTGCCGTGAATGTTAGTGTGAGGACCTTGAGGTTTTTTTTCTAAATAAATAAATACCTTATGTATTGTATCTTTTAAAATCTGATTCTCATAATTAACCTGTGCTTCTCTGGTAGATGTAACCCAACGCTTTAATAAGAACCAGAATTTTACGTGTGTGCTATTTATTGAGGGTCGAAGAGCCGCGTAACGCGTTCACAACTGAATTGTTCACGGGTTTTTGAGTCCAACACGAACATCTAACATAACCTGGTGACATCAAGTCCCCCCCCCCACACCCCCACACCCCCACCCACACATATCTACTGAGTAATCTGAATTTTTACGCACTTCTCTTAGAGAGGGATATTTTAAAATCTTATTTCGAATTTCCAATTCTGTCGCTCGATGCGTACAATAAAGCTCTCGGTAACAAATACGGTAAATATTTTCTTCGATTGACCTGAGACCGTTATTTCTAACGGATCACAACGCAGTGAGACATCAAAGGAGGAGGCGGTTACTGACTTGCACGCTGGAAACTTCTGCGTTAACTGAACCCGGGTCTCTCCGTGAACGCGCTTCGCCCTCGGGGTCTATTCCGCTCCGGCCGCAAAAAATCCACCCGTCAGTTCAGTCTACCGTATACACTTCTGCGAAGCGGTTTGAGGCGTCTCGAGGACGTGAAAAGGCGCTGTTATCGAGGGCGCAGATTCCCGTTTATTTTCGCTCGAAGGTTCGCTTCGAAGCTGCGAACCGCGACCCGAATGGAGAAGCTTCTTCGTGAAGGTCGCGCCGCCGTGGAACTCAAAAAGCACTGAGAAGGTCGGAGTCCAATTTCTCCGACATAATAGTCCTCGCGGCTTTGACTTGACTTTCTACGTAAGGAAGACACGCCGACGCCGACGCCGCCCCTTGTGGTTTTTTTTTTGTAGACGATCTTGAAAGACAGCGCCGCAGATATAAGGGATGAGGTACGCGATGCGATGACCACAGTAAAAACAATAACATTTGGCATCGGTTTAAGCGCTCCAAAGCCCTTCGATGGAGTTACCGTAAAAGCGTAATGACCATTCGTAGACCAATGCACAGCCAATGTCCGAGCGAACGGACAATTTTTTGAACGTAACCGACAGCCGGTCCTTCGGCGCAGTGCGCCTTGAGTCGCAACCACCCCCCACCCCCCCAACCCTCCCCAACCCTCCCCCACCCACCGGCTGCTAAAAAGCCTCGAAAGGGCGCGAGGAGAGAAAGTTTAACAGATTAACGGATTGAATAGTAAATAAATGAACACGAAGGTAATTTAGGAAAACAGACGGTCAGTGAGTGACGCAGACGCAATGGCCCCAATTAACCCCCACCCCACCGCCCCACCCCACCGCCCCACCGCCCCACCGCCCCACCACCCCACGCCACCGCCCCTCCCCACCGCCCCACCCCCCACCCCAACGCCCCACCCCCACCCCACCCCACCGCCCCACCCCACCCCACCGCCCCGCCCCACCGCCCCGCCCCCACCGCCCCGCCCCACCCCACCGCCCCACCACCCCACGCCACCGCCCCGCCCCACCCCACCGCCCCCGCCCCACCCCCACCCCCCGCCCCACCCCACCGCCCCGCCCCACCCCACCGCCCCGCCCCACCCCCGCCCCGCCCCACCGCCCACCACCCCACCGCCCCGCCCCACCGCCCCACCACCCCACCGCCCCGCCCCACCACCCCACCACGCCTCCGCCCCACCGCCTCCGCCCCACTGCCTGGAGGCGTCCCAACAACGTGGCGAAGACGCCTCGCGATCGAAGGCGAGGGTTAGCCCCGCGGATCCGCTGCGTAGTTCGCCGGTCGTTTTTCAGCGCTGAGAAGTTAAGCCCCAAAAAATAGTTCGCGGAACCCCCCCCAACATCCAACACCCCCCACATTTTTTTCATATGGTGTGTAACAGCCCCAAAAAACGTGTGTGTGTGTGTGTGTGTGTGTGTGTGTGTAAAAAAAAGATGACTTTATTGAAACCATCTTTTGGATCTCCCGCGAAAAAAAAAACAAAAAAACAGCCCAATCCATGTGTTTGTGTTTTAAATAAAAAACATATCAAGAGAATTAAAAAAAAATTTGAACCCCCCCCCAAAAAAAAAAAAAAAAAAAAAAAAAATCCACTGCGCCGCCCGGGAATCGAACCCGGGTCGCAAGAATGGGAATCTTGCATGATACCACTACACCAGCGGCGCCTGTGTCTGTGTGCGGGGGTATCTCTCTCTCTCTCTCTGTGTGTAGGGGGATGGAGCCAAGAGAGAAAAAAAAGAGAGAGAGAAAAAGAGAGAGAGATGGAGAGAGAGAGAGGGTTTAAAAGGAGAGAGAGAAAAAAGAAGAAACGTTTCGATGCGTTTCCCTGGGGGTCTGGGGGGGTAGTGTGTGGGTGGGTGTAGTGTGTGTGTGGGGGTGTGGAGGTGTGTGGGGGTGTGTGGGTGTAGTGTGTGGGTGTGTAGTGTGTGGGTGTTTGTATGGGTGTGTGTAGTGGGTGTGGGTGTGTGTGGGTGTAGTGTGTGTGGGTGTGTGAGTGCAGGTGTGTGTGGGTGTTGTAGTGTGTGTGGGGGTGTGTGTGGGTGTAGTGTGTGGGTGTAGTGTGTGTGTGGGTGGGTGGGTGGTGTAGTGTGTGGGTGTGTGTGTGGGTGCAGTGGGTATGGGTGTGTAGTCGGTGTGGAGGTGTGTGGGTGTGGGTGTAGTGTGTGTGGGGGTGTGTGTGTGTGGGGGGGTGTGTGTGGGTGGGTGGTGTAGTGTGTGGGTGTAGTGTGTGTGGGGGTGTGGGTGTGTGAGTGTAGGTGTGTGTGGGGGTGTGTGGGTGGGTGGTGTAGTGTGTGGGTGTAGTGTGTGGGGGTATAGTGTGGGTGTGTGGGTGTAGTGTGTGTGGGTGTGTAGTCGGTGTGGAGGTGTGTGTGTGGGTGTGTAGTGTGTGTGGGTGTGTGTGGGGGTGGGGGTGTGTGGGAGTGGGTGGTGTAGTGTGTGGGTGTAGTGTGTGTGGGTATTGTGTGGGTGTAGTGTGTGTGGGTGTAGTGTGCGTGGGTGTGTGTGAGTGTAGGTGTGTGGGTGTGTAGTGGGTGTAGTGTGGGTGTGTAGTGGGTGTGTGTGGGTGTGTAGTGTGGGTGTGTGGGTGTAGTGTGTGTGGGTGTTTGTGTGTGTGGGTGTGTAGTGTGTGTGGGTGGGTGTGTGGGTGGGTGGTGTAGTGTGTGGGTGTAGTGTGTGTGGGTGTAGTGTGTGTGGGTGTGTGTGTGGGTGTGTAGTGGGTGTGTGGGGGTGTGTGTGGGTGGGTGGTGTAGTGTATGGGTGTAGTGTGTGTGGGGGTGTGTGTGTGAGTAGGTGTGTGTGTGGGTGTGTGTGGGTGTTTGTATGGGTGTGTGTAGTGTAGGTGTGTGTGGGTGTGTGTGTGGGTGTAGTGTATGTGGGTGTGTGTGTGGGTGTAGTGTGTGTGTGTGTGGGTGTAGTGTGTGTGTGGGTGTGTGTGGGTGGGTGTGTGGGTGTAGTGTGGGTGTAGGTGTGTGAGTGTAGTGTGGGTGTGTGTGTTGGAACTGCTCTAACATGTGTGTGTGTATATATACATATGTGTATATTTATTTGTAGATATATATATATATATATATATTGCAAAATAAACAGCTGTAGAGGGTAATCGAGTCCTGTTATGGGGAGTATTTTTTTGGCGCCTCTCGATGGAGTATCTTTTTTATGAATGGGGTCCCTCAGGGCAGCGCGCGGCTACACACCGCGACACTGTTGCAGCCCTTTCTGCTGAGGAGCTTCGCAGTGCACCCTGGGAGTTGTAGTCCTCCCGCCCCCTCCGCCCCGCCCCCAGCACTCGCTCAACACGCGCTCCGACTACAAGGGCCGGCGTGCACCGCGCTCTCCACACCCACCCACACACTACACACTACACACCCCCCCACACACCACCCACACACACTACACACTACACACCCCCCCACACACCACCCACACACACTACACACTACACACCCCCCCACACACTGCACACCACCCATACACACTACCCCCACCCACCCACACACTGCACACCCCCCCACACACTGCACACCACCCATACACACTACCCCCACCCCCCCACACACTGCACACCACCCACACACACATACACACACCCACCCCACACACTACATCCACACACATAAACACACGCATCCCACACACTACCCCCACCCACCCACACACTGCACACCACCCACACACACTACACACATAAACACACCCACCCCACACACTACACACCACCCACACACACATAAACACACCCACCCCACACACTACACACCACCCACACACACATAAACACACCCACCCCACACACTACACACCACCCACACACACATAAACACACCCACCCCACACACTACACACCACCCACACACACATAAACACACCCACCCCACACACTACACCCACACACACAAACACACCCACCCTACACACTACACCCACACACACAAACACACACACCCTACACACTACACCCACACACACAAACACACACACCCTACACACTACACCCACACACATAAACACACCCACCCCACACAGTACACCCACACACGAACACACCCACCCCACACACTACACCTACCACACACACAAACACACCCACCCCACACACTACACCCACACAAACACACCCACCCCACACACTACACCCACACACACAAACACACCCACCCCACACACTACACCCACACACACAAACACACACACACACACACACGCACTGTGCCCGTGTATACTCAAATCTGCATGGGCTTTCTATCTGTCTGTCTGTCTGTCTATCTATCATTATTATTTATCTATATATGTGTCTATTAAAAAATATAAGTTTCACTCCACTACTGTTTCGTGGGACGTTGCTGTGTGCAAATTGTCTGCATACGTGTGCCGACGAAACAGTCACTTCACTTTACAGGTCCAATCCTGCCAAGGGTGCAATTTACTCAGGTGAAAGCCATTTGATCAAAGGCAATGATTATCATGAGAAGGATCTTAGCGTTTAATAAAGCTTCCTCATCGGGTCGTTGAGATGTCTCAAAGCGCTTTCCC